CGGTACGCGGGCCTCTCACTGTTGTGGCCTCTCCCATTGCGGAGCGCAGGCTCAGCGGCTATGGCTCACGGGCCCAGCCACTCCGCATGTGGGATCCTCCCGGACCGGGCCACTAACCCGCGTCCCCTGCATTGGCAGGCGGACTCCCAACCACTGCGCCACCAGGGAAGCCCTATATATTCTTTTTCATATTCTTTTCCATTACTGTTTGTCACAGGATATTGAATATAGTTCACTGTGTTATACAGTAGGACCTTGTTGTTATGCCTTCCTAACTTCTTGAATGCAGGGACCATGTCCTAGAGTGTTCACTCTCTCATGCCGAGGGTCAACCAGCCAAGAGAGTCAGCATCCAGTGCTTTCACTTATCAGTTGATTGACAGCATTCCAGTGGGGCACTGAACACCCACGATAAAGGGAGAACCAGCCAGACGTGACCACGATGATTGAAAAAGTTAAGTGCTATGGGAAAGAGGAGTTAATTTAACCAGGTGGTCACTGGGGCCCCAGGAAAAGCTGGCCTGTTTGAGCAAGTGAAGTCTCTGGACCTCTGAGGCCATGGAATCCAATTCTGGCTAATTCCCACTGGGATGTGGTTTCACATGGCACTCATTTGGCCAGCGTCCCAGCTGAGAGCAAAGGCCGGGTCTCATGGGCTGCATGCCTTGCAGATCAAAGAATATACTCATCTGTCTTGAACGTGGCCTTCAGTTTGGAGCCAGCCAGCAAGACCCCAGCGTGTGTGAGCTCTGAAGAGTAAGAAGAGGCATCGGGGGCAGGGAGATGAATTTACATGGTGCATATTGGGACTCTTCTTGGGAGTCAGGTGTTCAGTGAGAAAGGGCTGACGCAGTCCAGTGGATCAGCTTCCTAAAATGCTTTCTAGCTGCTGAGCTTGGCACCAGTTTTTCCCTGCGGACCCCGGAGGTGGCAGCAGTGACTGGGGGTGGGGGAGGAAGTTGGCTACAGGGCCCTCTTTCTTGTATTTCCTTCTGCTTTTCTTGGCTGTGCTGGATCTCGGTGGGCTCGGAGGAGATCCAGATGTGATGGGTCTGGTTAAAATTCGTATTTTAACCAGGAACATGTTGGTGTTGCGAGGTGCCATCTGGGGGGGTTGAAAAATGCTGTAGCCCACCCAGCAGAAACGCGAACAGACCAAGGGTTTAAGAGAGAGGGGTTTTGTGGGGAGAGGCCAATTCAAGCTGAGGAGAGGCTGCAGGTGATAATACTCCGTATTTCTTGAAGGCTAGCAGCGTGGTCTTTGCCATCAGGAAAACCAAGGTTTGAAACCCAGCTTTGTTGTATGACCTTGGAAAGTTATTTAATATCCTGAAGCCTCCATTTGCCCATCCGTAAAATAGGAATAATGGTTTCTAATTAGTATGGGTGAGAAAGATTTAAGTGAGGTAATGAATACAAAGCGTGTAGCACATGCCTTTGCACATATTCAGCACTCCATAAAGTCATCAGAAATGAAATGTTACAAATATCACTCTGATTATATCCAAGGCACGTTGATGTGTTTTATGTCATTTGTAATCTTTTGTCACCTTTGACACAACTTGTTTTCCAAGTATTTCTATCTCTCACTCCCTCTTCCACTTCCTCTCTCTCCTCCAGCCCCTTGTGATCAAGGGGGCATTTTTGTGAAAAGACTGGCTGAAACTAATGTAGCCACAGGACCCAACAAAACTCACAAGCTAGTGTCAGGACTGAGGTTGTCTTGGCCCTTTTTAGCAAGATTACCAACAAGCTCTAAGGATAATTGCCAATTACCTGATTGTTTCAAAAATCAACAGTCAGAGCTGGAAGGACCCTTAGATTTTATCTAGTCTGGCTGCCCATTTGACACACAGAAGAGGAAACCCACCCAGTAATGATGGGGAGTAGTGGCCAAGACAGGACCACTCTCCGGGTCCCCCAACCCCTGGTTGCATCCAAGCTCTGTGCATCAAACCACAGCTGGGTCTTGGGAGCCAGGTGTCCTGAACCCTCATCCTCGATTGTTTTTGTCTTATCACCTTCTCACTTGACAGTCTACAAAGATGGTCAGTACCAGTCATTTGATAAAAGTGACCGTAAGCATAAAAGTCACAGCTCTCAAGCAGGGCCACAACTGAGCTGATCCTATGAGGTAGATGGAGTATCTCTACTACACAAGAGGCTTAATGGACTTGCTCAGGTTCACGCAGCTAGTAACTGTCAAAGGCAGGATTTGAACCCAGGTCTAATCCCAAAGCCTCAATGCTTCCCACCTCGGACCAGGAAACCTGCCTGGCACCTGAATGACCTGGATCTGTCCTCAGGTCAGATCTGGCCCCAGTGCCATCGTCGGCCTGGAATGTACGCTGGCTTGGTAATCAATGTTACACAACAGGAATATTTGTTGATGCCAGTTGCACACTGTTGCAGTCTAGATAGATTAAGCCACTGCCGGTGCTGGCTCCATGAAAGTAAAAGAGCCTTTCCAACAGCTATGGAAATAAATTTAAATGACAGTGCTGAAGGGACCTGAGGCTGTGGCTGAGTGAGTGTCTTTTTCTGCGGAAAATTGACAAGGACAGCTATCAGTCCTTTGTCCCCAGGACATAATTCCTCTCTATCTCAAGATCATCATCGGTAACATTCTGACTGCTCCAGCCCCCTGCTTGAGGGCACGATTACAGTGACAAGAGTATAAAAAACAATGATGTATACAGCAGCGGATACATACCAGGCACTCTGTGGGTAAGGGACCCACATGTGCATACATGTACGTATGCTTTCCATAATCAACCTCTTGAACGATGAAAACCCTATGAAATAGGGGACAATAGCCCCATTTTACAGCTGAGGAAACTGAGGCTCAGAGAGGTAGAGCCATTTGCCAGCTTGCAGTTGGCAGAACTGGGTCTCAAATAAGTAGATGCAGCTGTTTTCAGGCATGATTCTGCTAAACAGTAGCCTGGGCCAGCCCTTATTTAAAATTATTAGGTGGTTTTCCTTTCAAGACAAAAATAAATCACAAGGAGTCAGCAAGACATACAAGGCCCACCAGAGACTGGCCCCGACCTCCCTACCTCACCAGCTCTCTCTTTAATCACCCTCCACCTCTGTCCCCTGTTCTCTTTCATTCCTCCTTTGCGCTCACCTCAGCCAGGCCTTGGGTCTTCCCACACCCCTCTGTTCTAAACCTGCCTCACGATTCTGGATCCTCAAATCTTTGTATGGAGTTTCCCACAAGGTCACTTGTACATTACTTAGTTAAAAGGAAAAAAAAAAAAATCAAACTCCCCCAATCCCAGGATAATATAGCCCTGAGTCAGGGCACACAGCTTAGAGAAGAGACTGTGGGTTGGTTACAGCCCCACTCATCCTCTTAGTGGGATAGCCTTGTGCAGTGAGCAACCTGCCCAGCTGTACATGGTGGTCCTGCCCCACAGACTGGGTTAGGGGCCTGTCCTCTTAGCACACAAAGCTTTTCTCTTTCTAAGCGTTTATCACATCAAATATGATTATTTCTACTTTCTTATTCCCCCTCCCAGGGCATATGTAACTGGACTGTGAAATTCTTGTGCCCTTGGTTTCTGTACCTCTAATGCTTAGCTCAGGCTGGCCATGATCAACCCCAGTCTCCCTGGTTGGGAAAAGGAAGTAAAAAAAAGAAGGGAAGAAGGAAGGAATGAAAGGAGGCAGCCCCACATTGGTTGATTGGGCTGTACCAGCATCCTAGCAAGACTTGGGTACCACCTCAGGGGGGCCACCCTCAGAGTCTGCCAGTTGAGGACCTAAAGCCCCTGGCCCCAAGCTAACTGGTGTCCGTTCTCTTCCCAAGATGCGCCACTGGAGGGAGATGCTGGCCCTTCAGGTACTTACTTTCTGCCCTTGGAAGCCCTGGGGAGCAGCAGTCTGAGCCACGGGACCCCCAAAGAGAGAGTGACCCCGGCCCCTCTGAATCCAGCGCAGTCAGGGGACGAGCTTCACAAGCCAGAGTTGGAAGGGATGGTTCCCTCCGCACCTCAAGCCTCCGCGGCCGCATCCATGCTGCTTCCGCTTCCGGAGGAACCCGGCACCGGGCATGCCTTCCCCCCCACGAGGAAGCCGACTTCGCTCAAGCAGGTGAACTTGACCAGGAGGCAGCTGAGGCCGAAGGCCACCACCACAGCAGCCGTGCAGAGGGCGGCGTCCCAGCCAGCATCCTCGGACCTGGTCCTCCTCTCCTCTGCCACGGAGAAGCCCCGCCCACCTGGGGACCTGGACCCCGTGGCCTCCGCAGGGGAGGAGACCCACCCACTGTCGCTGTCATCGGAGGAGCCCCTCTGGCTGGAGCAGAAGGAAGGTGCAGTCCCCACGACGCCCGCGCCCCTACAGATCGCCCCCTTCACCTCGCAGCCGCTGGTGGCCCACACGCTCCCCCAGAGCCCCGACCCCGGGGCGCCCGCCGTGCCTGAGGAGGCCCACGAGGCTCCCCCGGGGGATGCCAGCCCCATGACCCTGATGGACAAATGTGAGAACGAGCTGACCGGGTCGGCCTCGGAGGAAAGCCAGGAGACCACGACGTCCACCATCATTACCACCACGGTCATCACCACCGAGCAGGCCCCAGGTGTGCAGCCCCCAACCCCTCCAGCCCTCCCAGAACTGCGATGAGGCACCTGCTGTGTGCAGGGCATGGGAGAGGGGGGCCGGGGAGGTCCACGCCCCACCATTGGTTACCATCTTTGGAGCCCTAGCTATGAGCTTGTCCCTGTGGCCCAGAATTAATATCCCTGTTTTAGAGATGAGATCCCTGAGACCGTAAGACATCGAGTACCCTGCCCAATGCCACACAGCTAAACAGCGGGATTCAAAACCTTTCATCTTGGAACAGAATCCTTTTGTCTGCCTAGAAGGCCCTAGCCTTTCAAGGTGCTTTTGCTTTTACCGTTACATGAACTTGATAAAATGCACGTCTGTGTTCCAGTCTTTCTTCTACCATTTTTTCCATCTTCAAACACAGAGGAGAGACATCAGCTGTCAATCATACATTGATTTTGGACAAATGCAATGTGGCCGCTCAGGAAAGAGTATGAGCTCCAGGTTTGACTCCTGCTTGCTGTGTGAGCTTGGCCCAGATGCGCACCCTCTCTGAGCTTTGCTTTACTTAATCTCTGAGATGAGAATGAAATGTCAGTCCCTTCGAGGATGAGTGGGGTCACCCCTGTAGACCGATGAGGTGCCTAGCAGCATGTAGTAAGTTATCATTCTGTGTCAGATGCTGCTATTTGATTATCATGTTGATTCTGGAGCTGAAGGAGAATGAACAGCAGTGGGAGGAGTGGGGACAGGAGAACACAGGTGTCCCCAGAGGCCCTGTTCCAGCCCGCAGCCCATCTGAGAGATGACATCTGAGCTGTTCTCCTTGTCCTAATGACAGTGCTTTTCTCCAGCTCTCTGCAGTGTGCGTTTCTCTGATCCTGAAGGGTACATCGACTCCAGTGATTACCCACCGCTGCCCCTCAACAGCTTCCTGGAGTGCACGTACAACGTGACAGTCTACACTGGCTATGGGGTGGAGCTCCAGGTAACCCCAGAAAGGTGCCCTGCAGTGGCTGCCTCTTCCAGCAGGAAGTCTCTGAAGGATTGTCTGAGTCGGGCTTGTTTTTATCATCCTAACCAGTTTGGTTCTGGCTTTGCCCTAATGGGGCAATTTAAGCTGGGCTTTGGTGGATGAATAGGAGTTCCTAACTCGGGGCACAGCTGAAATAGCTTGGCACACATGGAGGGAAGGGGATGTGTTGATAAATTGTGACTCATTACACCCAGAAGGAAAGTCCTCTGATATCCTGCTTATCAAACACACACATAGTCATGGAAGCCCCATGTGGCTCATTTGATTCATAAACTTTTGGCTGCAAACTAAGAATGGAAAAGCAGGGTAGCATAGTGCTCAAACATCTGGGTTTTAAGTTGCGGCTCTACCAGTTAATGCTATATGACTTTGGGTAAGGGACTCCAGCTCTCTGAGCCTCAGTTTCCCCATCAGTAAAACAGAGGAAAATGTTGCTGCTTTACAGAGTTTCAGGGAGGAATAAATATGACAGTGCACAGAGAGCATTCATCCAGAGCCTAAGGGAGAGAGAGCGGGCACTCAAATGCATGTTACCAATTATCCCCACCCGAGTTCCAGGCCATCCCCAACCGACCTCCCCATGTTTAGAAGCACTTTTTGGTACGAAGTAAGATGACATGCCAGGAAGTGGTGAACTGTCCAGTTCACTGTCCCACAGAAGAAAGGGTGGAAGTGAAGCCAGAAAGCCACCAGAAGATCTTAAGCAGAGTCAGTTGTATGACATAAGCAGAACTTTACTTTAGGAAGGTTTTCTGATTGTATAGGGAGGATGAAAGGTAAGCCTCTCGGCAGAACTTTTGTCCAGAGCTTAGCACAGCATGTGGCACATGGTAGGTACTTCGTAAATGTTCATGGAATTAACCTGGAGAAAAGTTGCAGTCCAGCTCATTCTGGCACTTGATGAACACTTTGCTCCACTTGAATAGACCCACTCTGTCTAATACTGTGCGGAGCTTTTTATCAGGCACAGTAGAATTCCTTCATTAGCACCTACTCGGTACCAGTCACAGCAATGGGGGACAGGGTGATGTGTAAAACTGATGCAGTGCCTGCCCTAAAGGAGTCTGTTGTTTTGTGATTGAGATAGACACACGTGGAAGACACTGGGATGCTTCTCCCAGTGGTCTGTAGTAGATGTTCAGAGTGGATGTTGTAGAATCACGGTGGAGAGACAGGCAAGCTCCTCGGCAGTTAGGGAAGGTTTCACGGAGAAGGGTAATTTTAGTGGGGCTTTGACGAATGAGTAGGCATTCATCAAAGAGAAAAGAGAGTAAGGTGTAAGGCCTGAAAGAGGAAAGGCTTGTCAGTAATGCCTGCCTTGCGTACACAAGAGGCAAGGGTCTGGGGTCCCAGGCCCCACTAAGAGAAGCAGAAATACTCATATTGGGAACTGGGGACTGACTAAGGTCCCCACCCCACCCCACCCCTCCATTTGTTCAGCATCCTTGTCTGCGAGTAAAGTATCTCCCTTCTTTCTCTCCCAAGCCTGGAAAGTGGACTTGGCAAACCAAGTACATGGAGCTTTGAGGAGCCTCTGCCATTGAAGCCACCATTGAGGAGGATGAGAAAGTGGGCCTGAGAAAGCCCTAGAGATGAGGGCCCCCAGGCCCTCACCAGTTTATGCAGAAGGGCAAGAATGTATTCAGTCAGTCCATAAAGATTATTGAGCACGTACTATGTGCCAGGCACGATTTTAGGCCCTGGGGACCCTGAGCAGCACGGAAAGTTTCCTGCCTCCCTGGAGCTTACCTTCTGGTGAAACGCCTTCTGTCTCCCTGGGGATGGGACCTCAGGCACAAGCTGATCAAACCCCTGTCCCCACCTGCCAGCTCCAGAAGACTCTGTCTCGGCTGCCAGCATCCGCAAGCCTCTTTCATGGGGCTCAGATAAGGGGGCTAACAGATGCCCTGTCTCAAACACGACTCAGATTCTGTCTACTCCTACCTGTCTCCAGGTGAAGAGTGTGAACCTGTCTGAGGGGGAGCTGCTTTCCATCCGTGGGGTGGACGGCCCCTCCCTGACCATTCTGGCCAACCACACCCTCCTGGTAGAGGGGCAGGTGATCCGAAGCCCCACCAACACCATCTCCGTCTACTTCCGGACCTTCCAGGACGATGGCCTTGGGACCTTCCAGCTGCACTACCAGGGTAAGATCAGGCTGAGGCTGTTGAGATGTAGCTTTTGTCTCCCTTTCTCTCTGGAGACAAGGATTCTCACCCTTTTTGTGCCAGGGACCGCCTCTGGCAGTTTGGTAACACTGTGAACCCCTTCTTAGATTTGTGTTTTTAAGAGCATAAAATAGATACAATTCAAAAGGAAGCCATTCATATTTAAGAGCAGTTGTCAAAATATTGTTTTCATCTATGATATCATAATCTATGTGCTGCTTTATTAACACATTAAGTAATATTTCCCAGTGGCTCTGATAATTACTGTAATTTCAAAGGAGCATAAGAAGTATGTCAAGATACTCATTTTGATATGAAAATATCTATGATTTCTCTTGGTGACAAAGTTACATGTTCTGTGACTATGTTACAGATTGTTGCCTACATTTGTGATTGAAGAAAATACCATTGTTAAGTGAAAGGTTAATGAAGAATGAGCAAGCCCCCTTTTCCCGCTCAAGTTCATGTCTCCTGAATCTGACACACAAATCCCATGAGAGTCCACGGGTTTCTGGGAAAGAGCCTCTGCTACTGGAGCCCTTCTCTCTTCTCTCTTCTCCACTGTTTCTTTCTTTCCTTTTTTGTCTGTTTCTAGTCTCCTCATTTTTGTTTTCTGTTCACCTTTCTCCTCTCTCCTCCTCCCTCTTTTCTTGCTTCCTTCGTGTCTTTCTTTCCTCCCCTCCCTTTCTTCATTCCCACCCCCATTCTCTCTTCCTTCTCTCTCTCATTTCAATGTCATCCCATTTTCCCCACCTCCTGGGCGTTTCCCGAGATCTCCGGTTACTTCCCTTACCAGGAGCTCCCCCTGGATACTGGCCAAGTATAAGATGGGGAAGGGGAGCCCCTAGCCACACCTTGGGAGGTCGAAAGCCGTCCACATTTACGTCACATTGACTAAATGTCTGGAAAAACAATTCATTAAAAAATTTCCCCTTGGATGTTTCTGAAACAGATGGGTGACTGTATACAGGAGTGTCCGTTTCCTCACACCTTCTCAATATGCAGACTACCGTCTGTTGTCTTTGTTAATTAAAAAATGGGAAAAAAAAAATAGCTCATTGAGCCATGAGCTTGAATTCAGTCCTCCTCATGGGAACTGGGAGTGCAGATATCCTAGGCTGCAGGAGAGGTCAGACCATAGTCCGGTGGTGGAGCTAGGACGGATTCAGCTCCCTCTTATGAAAATGAAACTCAGGGAGCTCGACGTGGTCACGTACACCCTTCTATACCACCCCATCCAGTGAGCTCTGTGCACCAGATATTGGGCCAAGGAGGCTCTTTGGCATTTCGCATGTAATCCTTACCGCCACCTGTGAAACAGGGACGATCCCAGAGAAGAGAGTGAAGTTCAGGGCACTGTGTCAGTTTCTCAAGGTCACACAGTTTCTGAGTGATGGAGTAAGAGAATGTAGACTCACGTCCATCGCCCTCGGAGCCCGAGCCCTTACCTTCCAGGACAGTTGTTTCCAAGCTTTCATATCTTGGGCATTTCCTGAAGAACTGGTTATTCTGACTCTGGTCCAAGAGGCTGCATTTTTATCAGACACCTAATCTGTTCGTGCAGGTGAGACTAACCTACCTGGGTGATCCTGTCCCTCCTGTGCTCAAGGAGAAGGCCGTTCTGTCTCCAGGGAGAGATGGAAACACATGTGTCACCCCAAACCCGCTGTCTCTGGTTAGGCAGGGTGGGGAGCTTTGAGCCTAGAAAAAAGTGCTCATCTGGCAGTCTCAGCACCACGTGATCAACTCGAGTCACAAAAATACCCTCCTCCAGCACTCCAGGGTCCTCAGGGGCCTCATCTTTTCTCCTCAGCAAAAATTGGCTCCCAGGATGTGGGTCATGTTCTTTGTCTCCCCCTCTGAGAGATGACTGTCTGCCCCTGCATTTCTTCCCAGCCTTCATGCTGAGCTGCAGTTTTCCCCGCCGGCCCGACTACGGGGATGTCATGGTGATGGACCTGCACTCAGGTGGGGTGGCCCACTTCCACTGCCACCTGGGTTACGAGCTCCAGGGTGCCAAGACGCTGACGTGCATCAATGCCTCCAAGCCCCACTGGAGCAGCCAGGAACCCATCTGCTCAGGTACATGCCAGCCTCAGCCAGACCAAACACGGATGGTCCACTTAAGAGGGGAGAGACCAGCCCCCAGGGTATTAAGGTTGACCTTAGGGAAGAGATTCCTCCAAATATAGATGGCTGCTGCCATTTAAAGGTTTTTTATGTGATAAAATTGACCATTAGTGGCATTTAGTACAGTCACAATGTTGTGCAACCATCACCACTATCTTTATCACCTCCAAAAGGACACCCTGGACCCAGTAGCAGTCACTCCCCATTTTTCCCTGTCCCCAGCCCCTGGCAACCACCAGTATGCTTTCTGTCTCTATAGATTTGCCTGTTCTGGACATTTCTCATACGTGGGATCGTACAATATGTAATCTTTTGTATCTGGCTTCTTTCACTTAGCATAGTGTTTTCAGGGTTCATCCATGTTGTAACGTCTGTCAGAACTTCATTCCTTTTTATGACTGAATAATATTCCATGATATGGATAGGCCACATTTCATCTGTTCATTCGCTGGTGGACATTTGAATTGTTTCCACTTTGGCGGTATTAGGAATAATGCTGCTATAAATGTCTGTATGCAAGTTTTTATGTTTTCATTTCTCTGGGGTACATACCCCAAAGTGGAATTGCTGAGTTATATGGTAATACCACGTTTAACTTTTGAAGGAACCGTCAAACTGTTTTCCACAACGGCTGCACCGTTTTACTTTCCTACCAGCCATGTATGAAAGTACCAGTTTCTCCACATCCTCACCAGCACTTATTTTCGATGTCTTCTTTTTATTATTATAGCCATATGATAATGTGGGTGTGAAGGTATCTTACTGTGATTTTGATTTGCATTTTCCTAATGGCTAATGACATTAGTATCTTTTCATATGCTTGTTGGCCATTTGTATATCTTCTAGGAGAAATGTCTATCCAAGTCCTTTGCCCATTTTAAAAATTTGGTTGTTTGTCTTTTTCTTGAGTTGTAGGAGTTCTTTATATATTCTGGATACTAGACCCTTACCAGATATATGATTTGAAAATATTTTCTCCCACTCTGCGGGTTGTCTTTTCACTTCTTGATAGTGTCCTTAATTTTGACAAAGTCTAATTTGTGTAATTTTTGTTTGTTGCTTGTGCCTTGGATATGACAGCTGCCATATTTTGAGCCCAGTCCATATGCCAGGGCTCTGATAAATCCTCACAGCAATCCTACATGGTGGGAACAGTATCCCCATTTTACAGATGAGGAAACTGAGGCTCATGGAGGTGAACTTTCTCCCTCAAAGTCACCAGATAGAAATTGAACTGAGTCCAGAACCCTTCTCTCCTGAGCTCTTTTCCTTACACCTTCACTGTTCAAAGTGCAGTCTGCAGACCAGTGAGTTTATTAGAAATACACAGTCCCAAGCCCCATACAAAACCAAGCAAATCAAAATCTACATTTAAAATGCTCCTTTTGTGGTTCATGTGCACATTATAGATTGAGAAGCATCTGTACCACACTCTGTCTGCCCCAGTGGCCATAACCTTGACCATCCTCAGTTACCAAGAGAGCAAATCTCTTATTAGATTCTCAAAAGTCCTGACCATGGCCAGGAAAGTGTAGGCTGCCCACATTAACTGAGTACCTACTCTGTGCCAGGCCATGAGTCATGTACAAGGAGAATACTGGGAATAAGAAAACATCACTCCTGCCCTCCAGGCATTCATATAGTCAGTAGAATTCAAGATGCAAATGAGAGCTGATGATAAATTCTCAGATTTAATTATTGCAGTATCGTTCCCCCCAAGGCCCTTCAGAATTTTTCTTTTCTTTTTTTTTTAACAAAGAAAAAAAATTCAAACCATAGGGCAGTTGGTCTCTATGCCTCCCTCACGTTAATTTTTATCTATGTATGAAATCAGAGAGGAATTAAGCCTCAATTTGTGCTAAGAAAGACGGATGGGGAGCCACGGCTGGCAAATTGAAACCAGTCATCAGTCGGCTTAATAAGGCAAGGAATGGGAGCAGAGAGGCCGCAAATGAGTGGCAGCTCGGGGAGGACAGGTGGCCAGCACCCCCCACCAGGGACAGTGTCCATCTCCTCGGCTCCTGAGCTATGGGGCAGTAATGCTGGCTACATTTTGAGCACCTACTCTGTGCCAGGGACAGCGCCAAGCCCTCTACATGCAGTGTTCCATTGACTTAACCACCACAGTCCCATAAAGAGGGTGGAATTATTATTAACATTTTACAGTGACCTAGAGGTTCAGAGATCTTCAGTGGCTCCCCAAAAAAAAAAAAAAAAAAAAAAAAAAAAAGCTCTGTGCCAGGGACAGCGCCAAGCCCTCTACATGCAGTGTTCCATTGACTTAACCACCACAGTCCCATAAAGAGGGTGGAATTATTATTAACATTTTACAGTGACCTAGAGGTTCAGAGATTTTCAGTGGCTCGTAAAAAAAAAAAAAAAAAAATTCCAAGAAAGTGTTGGAGACTGTAGCAAATCACTTTTACATTCCTGGTCTCAGTTGATCCTTGCATATAGCTCTTTGAAATAGATAAGCGGACCATGTTCTAGCTTCTTTTTTCCCACTTAAAATATAGTGAATATTGTCCTGTATTCTCAAGTTCTTTGAGAACATGGTTCTTCAAAACTATATGAATGACATGCATTTATTTCACCAAGCATCTGTACATGGACAGATGCTTGGTCCTTCTGTTTTTTGCTCTTAGAGGCAATCTGGCAGTGAACATCCTCATTCATACATTGTTGTGAAACTCTCTAAATCTTTTCTTAAGGTAAATTCCCAGAACCTTAATTACTAGGTCAAAGTGTTTGAACATATCTTCCAGATTTTTCATCAAGTTGCCCGCCTGAAAGGCCACAGCAGCTTGCATTCTAACCACTCCTGAATGAGAGTGACCATTTCCCATCACTGGAGATAGCTTTCCAGTTTATTGCTGCTTTTTATCTTGACCAATTAGGTGGATAAAGATAGAATATAGTTTAGATTTGCATTTCTTTTATTACCAGTGAGGCTGTATTTTTTTAGTGCTTACTAAGTAATAAAAGTATATTTCTTCTTTTGAGAACTGCCTATTTATGTCCTTCTTAATTACCATTTTGTAATTAGGAATCAGGGCACAGCCAGCGCATGGAAGAATGCTTAAATCACAGCCATTCATTCCCCACCATGGAACGCACATGGCAATGGTTCTAATCATGGAATTAGACCTCCTGTCAAACAGGATGAACCTGTCTCAGGAGGATGGGACTTTTCCCATGGTTTCTCTCTTCCCCAGCCTATTTCCTCCCATGAAGGGGTGGGGAATGGGGAAGGATGAAACCCTCACTTCCTCTCTCTCTCTGTCTCTCTCTGCAATCCTCTCACTGCCCACCCACCCCTACTCTCTGACCCCAGCCCCTTGTGGAGGGGCTGTACACAACGCCACCATTGGCCGCGTCCTGTCCCCAAGTCACTCTGGAAATACCAATGGGAGCCAGTTCTGTGTGTGGACAATTGAAGCTCCAGAGGGCCAGAAGCTGCATCTGCACTTTGAGAAGCTGTCACTGCATGAGAAGGACAGGTAAAACTCTGAGGGTCCCCAGCCAGCCTCACTCCTTCCCAGAGTGTTAGAACATGGCTTGGGATTTGGAGTCTTGAAAGGACTAAAATGCTGCCTCATGGACGTCAAGAAAGGAAGATCTGGGGAGGGTGGCAAGGATATTAGAGACCATCATCTTCGATCTCTTCCTTTTACACATAAGGAAACTAGGACATACAGAGGGGAAGGGACTTACCGTAGTCACACAACAGGGTAGGGAGAAAGACAAGAAGGGAATCCAGTTCCCTGACCTCGAACTGCCTCATCCCTTCTCCTGCGCATCCCTTTTTGCAATTGAACAAGGAGGGAGTGTTTACTGAGCATCAGCTCTGTGCCCAATCATGTATTAGGCTCCATGGAGAACAGGAGAGAAGTAGGAAACATTGGTTGGTTCCTGGCAGTTGAGATGGAAAAACCAGACTTATGTACAAGAAGGAACTAGAGAAGATACAAGACAGCATCTAACCAAGAGTATGTCTGTAGATGCTAAGTTATATGCACAGAATCCAGAATCTGAAAACTCTGAGAACTTCTTCTTCTAGAATATTCTGGAATGTTCTAGAAAATTAGGGTCTTAGCTGCTTAGACTTGCTGTCTTAGGTTGAGTTTCCTTGGAAACGGACAGAGTGACAAAGATGTGAGAGAAAGTGGTTTGTTTGGGAGCTGATCTTAGCACCAGGAAAATGAGCAGAGAAGGAAAGGGAGTAGATAACAGTATGTATTAGTAGGCAGGTGACTGCAGAGACAACTGGGTCTCTATCTACTGCGGGCCTCCAGGAAGCTGCATTGAGCAGGGCTCAGAGTGTTCCTATCGGAGGGTGAGGGAGCTGGGTATATATCCACCCCCACCATCCATGTTGGGGGAGGCGTGCTCCTGGACACACTGACTCCCCAACACTGCCTGCCACCCTTGGAGCTGGCTGATTCTCAAAGACTCTGGAAGCCAGCCGAAAATGGGTAAGGAATGAGTGCTATGGGGATGTGGGTAGGGCACCGACAGAGTGTCGGCACCTTAGAATTCTGGAATGTGTCCAATGTTGATCTTAGAATTATATAGTGTCCTGGCTTCTTTGAAGCTTCAAATCTAGACCATTAACCTCTAGGAAAGGATTCTGAGAGAAAATGCCGGGAAACTGAATAAGTTACCCAACTCTGGAGTCTACTTCCTTCCAAGTCGTCCAGCTTTATCCTGAACAACTCCATATCAATAAATCACTGCTTTAAAGTACAAGGTGTGGGGCTTCCCTGGTGGCACAGTGGCTAAGAATCCGCCTGCCAGTGCAGGGGACATGGGGTCGAGCCCTGGTCCGGGAAGATCCCACATGCCACAGAGCAACTAGGCACGTGCGCCCCAACTGCTGAGCCTGCGCTCTAGAGCCCGCGAGCCACAACTGCTGAGCCCACGCGCTGCAACTACTGAAGGCCGCACACCTAGAGACTGTGCTCTGCAACAAGAGAAGCCACCATAATGAGAAGCCCACTCACCACAACAAAGAGTAGCCCCCACTCGTCACATCTAGAGAAAGCCCACGCAGCAATGAAGACCCAACGCAGCCAAAAATAAATAAATAAATTTATTAAAAAGAGAAATTCTCTTCCACCTGGGAACTCTGGGAGCCAGTGTAGACACACACACTAACTTCCCCATTCCTAGCAGCGAGAGAGCAGAGATAATTGTCCCTCATCTCCCATCAGTTGGATGATGGCTGCTCTCAGAGTTTGTTAATTCCCTGACACACTGGCCTGTCACCTGTGCCAGTAGCTGGGGCGCTCCAGAGAAAGCCTGCAGGACAAGGAACACAAGTACAGAGAAATGGTAAGAGCCTTGGGCAGCAACTAAGCACGTGCGCCACAACTACTGAGCCTGCGCTCTAGAGCCCACGAGCCACAGCTACTGAAGCCCACACACCTAGAACCTGTGCTCCGCAACAAGAGAAGCCACTGCAATGAGAAGCCCACGCACCACAACGAAGAGTAGCCCCTGCTCACCCCAACTAGAGAAAGCCCCCCACGCAGCAACGAAGACCCTTAATTAATTAATTAATTAATTAATTAATTAATTTAAAAAAAGAAGAAATGGGACCTGATCTAAACCTTGGAAAGAGATTCGATCAGGGAACCCAAAATACAGTGAGTGGGTAGAGTAGCCCAAGCAGAGAGAATAGGAGTGGGGGGGTGGGCAAAGATGTAGAGGTAAACGGGGATCATCTTCTGAAGGGCTTTGGGTACTGGGCTGCTTCTGTAAGCTATAGATAGCCATGGAAGGATTTTGAGTAGAGGAGAGAAATGAAGAAAGATTTTAAAGATGGTTTACCCCCAAAATGAAGTCTTTCTAAACTCCAGTCCCTTAGTATGCAGCACAGAAGGTGGATTCTCTGGTCAAACGTGTTTGGGAGACAATATATATACACAGTCTCTGTCTTGGAAGGTGCTAATGCACATTAGCTGACAAAGGCACTGACAAGTCCTGCAAGGGAAAAAATCTTTAATTTTTATCTAACCTGGCATTTCCCAAACCCATTTGACCATAGACTAGGTATAGATTTTTATTACTGTTTTAGACATTACTGTTACTATTTTAGACATTCTAGAGAACATAAGTAGAAAATTGCTATTTTTGGAAGATTAATTGACTAGAGATTTTGAGATCCTGAGAGTTTGCTCTAGAGCAAAAGGCACTGGTTCTCTGAAAGAGGTGTCCTGGGGCATGGCCCCCAAGATGCAACAAAATCAGCCAGGATCAGAAGATTGTGAAGCGGCCTCTCCCCACTCTCGGAATGGCCCTGGGCCTCTACCTCAGCCCCCTCCTCATCCCAGCCACAGTGGACACATGGCACAATGAACAGACTGTGACTCTAACAAACATTTATGCATTTTGATGACATTAGAAATTCATGTGATAAACCCTTTTTATGGGTCACAGTAAAAAAAAAAAAAAAAACCAAAAAAACCCTCAAAGGATTAAAAATGCCTGTTTATGAGTCCAGAAAAATAAGTGATCCAATTTGTGTACTGGTTTCTTCCCCATTTTTGCGTAACTTTTAAAAAAATACCAAGGCTAGCAAAGAGCCAAGTGCCAAAGGTTGTATTTTTCTTTTTTAATAAGTTTATTTATTATTTATTTATTTATTTATTTATTTATTTATTTATTTATTTATTTATTTATGGCTGCATTGAGTCTTGCTGCGTGCAGGCTTTCTCCAGTTGCAGTGAGCGTGGGCTTTCTCTACTCTTCCTTGCGGTGCACAGGCTTCGCATTGTGGTGGCTTCTCTTGTTGTGGAGCATGGGCACTAGGCGCACGGGCTTCAGTAGTTGGGGCACATGGGCTTAGTTGCTCTGCGGCATGTGGGATCTTCCCGGACCAGGGCTCGAACCCATGTCCTTTGCATTGACAGGCGGATTCTTAGCCACTGTGCCACCAGGGAAGTCCCCAAAGGGTTTTAATAACAGTAAAAATGAATACCAATGTTTTATCTGATGCCTTTCATTTTTCAGGACACTTTATCCTGTTGTATCCTCACAGTCCCCCTGTAAGATAGATAGGAAAGACATTGTGCTCCCTCTTTTCATGGGTGTGGATACTGAGGCACGAGATGTGTTGAGACTTCTGTAAGCTCAGTGGGTAGGGAACTGGGGACTAAAAATTGGGACTCCTGACTGCAGGCACGGTGGTCTTAGGAGATAAAAATCAGTGACAGAGTGTAGTAGGGGTCCAATGCTTGGTCATTTGATTTGCATACCTACTCTGTCCTGTGCACTTTATGTCCATGGTCTCTAATCCCCACACTCTGGTGTAGGTGTGCTTGTACCCATTTTACAGATGAAACAGAGGCTCAGTGGGGTGCAGTGTTTTGGTCCAAAGTCACTCAGCTCAGAAGTTAAAGTCGGAACTCTGTCTGATTTTATATATATATATATATCTATATCTATATATATATATATATATATATATATATATCAGTGTTTCAGGAATGAGCCCAATCATCCCAGCTTCTCAATTAGTAATAATAATCAGTACCTATTAATTCGTCTGGTCATTACATCACACCCACCACTTTCCTTAAGAGCTCAGAATCTATCCATGAGTCTGGGACAAGCATTGTACAGAAAGGGAGACAAATTCGAATAGATGAAGCAGAGTGTCTGGGGGAGTATGGGGTGAAATCGGGATGTGAGTCTGGGATTGAGGCCCCGGAGGGGGTGGTCACAGTACACACCTCCCACTGCTGTGCATCAGCGGCCCGAGAAGACCTCATATTGGCTCTTGTCTCCTTCCCCACTGCCAGGATGATGGTCTACAGTGGGCCGACCAACAAGTCCACTCTTCTCTACGACTCCCTCCAAACCGAGAACGTCCCCTTTGAGGGCCTGCTGAGTGATGGCCACACCATCTGCATCGAATTCATGTCTGACCAGGGGCGGGTGGCCTCAGTCTTCAACATCCGGTTCGAGGGTGAGGGTCCCGGAGGCTGCCCCGTCTCCTGGGGTGGCATCGTGGGAGCAGGGGAAGCATGGCGGGACCGGGTCATGAGAGGTAGAAATCTGACCTGCAAAGGATGGGGGAGAAGCCGTAGCTAGAGTGACTCTTGGACTTCCAAAGGCCGCCTCTGCGGGGTTGGGAGAGCAGAGGTTCTTGTTCCCATTTTAGATATGAAAATAATGAGGCCCGAGAAGCCAAGTGAATGGCCTAAGGGCCCTGAGCAGGTCAGTGGGAACTGGAATGTGGGATCTGGTACCCGTTTCCCTTGGGGCTTCCCTGAACAGCAAGAGGGGCCCCTGCTTCTGAGACACAACCCTGTGAGCCACCCCTGACTCATTTGGGCGGGCTGCCCTCTTTTGTGTCCTGGCCCCAGCCTTTGAGAAAGGCCACTGCTATGAGCCCTACATTCAGAACGGGAACTTCACCACGTCTGACCCAACCTATAACGTCGGGACCATAGTGGAGTTTACCTGCGACCCCGGCCACTCCCTGGAGCAGGGCCCGGCCATCATTGAGTGCATCAACGTGCGGGACCCATACTGGAACGACACAGAGCCCCTGTGCCGAGGTGAGTGGGTCACAGCCCTCCTCCCAGGGCACCCCAGAGCCCTCCACCCCTTCAGATGAAAGGCCCAGCTTATATACCGACTTTAGGAGTAGAAACCTTTCTGGAGCTCACCCTCCTTTGGGTCAGGTTTGCTGCTGGTCCTTGAGAAAATCACAAAATGGATAAAATTGAAAAGTTGCCTCTTCCTCCAGGCACAAGACCCCATCATGCACAGCTTGGTGAGAAGATCGCTACATGGATTTCAGCTCCTACCTGTGCTATGCAGACATGTGCAGTGCACAATCCGCCCAACAGCACATGGCAGCCCTGCGTCTAATTAATGATAATGATAATAACAGTTGTTAATAGGGGTGCAAAAAACTGTGTTGCAGGCACTCTGTGCCTTATCTGATTTAATCCTCACTACAACCCTGTGAGGTGCATATTATTATTGATCCCGTGTACAGGTGAGGAAACAAGCTGTGACGTGACATGCTTCAGAACACACTGAGGGTAACTGGCAGAGGTGGGAATGGAACTCGGGTCTCTCTGTTCTCAGAGACCTGTGTGCCCTGAGCCCCTTTGGACAATGTCAGCTGTGTGGAATCCTCATCTACGGGGACTCCCAGTGCCCTGCGCTCCCCTATTTCTCCACGTTCAAGGCCACTGAGCCACCCTGAGCCTGGACCCATGTGGGGAATGTGGAGTAATGAACAGAGCCCTGGCTCCCGGCAGCCGCCACCTGGATGGTGGTTGGCATGAAATCACAGCCTGCCGTGGTGAGGGATTGATCCCTGTGTTAAATGTGCTGGTTTAACAGAGGAGAGTTTATTGGTGCTTTGGCCTCTGCCACACTGAGAATTTTCCAAAGCGGTAAACACAGAGTGAAATTTAAAGGGCCAGGTGCCAGGTGCGGCCACATCTCCGCTTCCAGTTCAGAGCCAGGGCGTTCCACAGTAACGTTAAGAATTACTAAACGCTTACCTTGTGCCAGGCGCTCTGCTGTGTTTGACATCCATGAGCTCACTTAAGCCTCAGAATAACCCAGTGAAGTCAGCACTGGTGTTTCTCCCTGCTCTACAGAGGGAGGCATCTGAGGCTCCAGGAACTTATTACATGCTTTGTCACAGAGCCTTTGGTGGCAGAGGCAAGACTCGAACCCAGGTCCATCTGCCTAGAATGTACCATCTCTAGTCACTATTCACGCTGCTCAAGGGGAGGGCTATTAAGGATGCACTTGAAACTTTGAACTCTGTCCTTCGTCCTGAAAGAACTACAGTCATCCTTCAGTATCCACAGGGGACGGGTTCCAGGGCACACACCCCGATGCCCCCAGTACCAAAATCCGTGGATGTTCAAGCCCCTTATATAAGAGGGGCACATCCTCTCATATACTTTAAATCATCTCTAGATTACTTATAATTCCTAATGCAGTGTAAATACTATGTAAATAGTTGTAAATACAATGTAAATTCTGTGGGAATGTCCTAAATGCAATGTTAATGCTATGTGAATAGTTGCCGGTGAGTGGCAAATTCAAGTTTTGCTTTTTGAAACTTTCTGGAATTTTTTTTCAAATATTTCTGATCCCCTGTCAGTTGAATGCATGGATGCAGAACCCACAGTACAATGTCCTTGCCCCACGTTTGCCAAATTTCAGCTAAAGGAGGCAGGTGGCCAGTCCTAATTTAATCATTCCGCACACACGTATGGACTGTCTGACTTCACAGACCACACTCTTAACTGTTACACCATATCTGCTTCCTTATGAATCATGTGTGTGTGTGTCTGTGTCTTTACAGCCATGTGTGGTGGGGAGCTCTCTGCCGTGGCCGGGGTGGTGCTGTCCCCAAACTGGCCAGAGCCCTACGTGGAAGGTGAAGATTGTGTCTGGAAGATCCACGTAGGGGAGGAGAAACGGATCTTCTTAGATATCCAATTGTGAGTGTTTATGATGGGTGGACCCCCCGGGCCAGCCAGTTGGGGAAGAAATTGCTCCTGCTTTATTGTTTCAACCAATATTAATTAAGCATCTACTGCGTGTCAGGGACTGTGCAAAACCTGGGGTCCCTATGGTGAGGAAGTGACAACATCATACACACCCAGAAGGCGTTCCTATCCTCAGGAAACTCAGTTGTCTAAGGAAACAGGCACTAAGTGAGGATTTGCAGTGATGTAGCTTTGCTAAGCGCTGTAAGGAAAGGTGCGTGATGCCATGAGATTCTATAACGGGGATTTGATATAAAGAGGAAGGTCAGAAAAGCCTTCCCTGAGGACCTGACGAAGCTCAGAGCTAAAGGATGAATTGGAGTGAATTCATCCAAGAAGGAACAGAGTATGCAGAGGCCCTGTGACAAGAGCAGGCACAGCATTTTCAGAGGACCGAATGGCTAGTATGGTCAGGAGGAGGAGGGAAATATAACATGTACACTCTGTACCAGAGTAGTTTATTTTCCTATCTGTCTCTCTCAACTAGACCAGAAGGCCCTTGCAGTCAGGACCTGGTAGGATTTATCTCTGTTTCAGGCTCCAACACAGAGCCTGACACATAGTAGATGCTCAGAAAATGATTGCTGAATGAAGAAATGGTGTCATGAATGGACTTACCTGGCTGTGTGGCTGTTTCCAGTATTCAGTGGGGGTACCTATTAGATGCTCCATCCAGAACTTTCCCTAACTCCCCAGGAATCAGGAGAAGGGGACAGAGACACACAGTGGTGGCTAGAAAAGCAGAAGAAAGGGCTGTCCAGAAGATCCAGACACGTGGCTGGGACAGTGGGGGGATGCCAAGTTTGGAAGAGCCTCTCTGGATGCAGCCTGGGGGTCAGCTCTCCCCTCAAGCCTGAAGTAGAAACCCACTTGTCTGGGAAGCATGACTTGGGTGCTGCTTGGCTTTGCAGAGGAGCCTGGCAAGAGGGAAATTATTTCCAAGATTTTGTGCCAGTACCATACTGTTTTGATTGCTGTAGCTTTGTAGTACAGTCTGAAGTCAGGAATTGTGATCCCTCTAGCTCCATTCTTCTTTCTTAAGATTGTTGTGGCTATTCGGGGTCTTTTGTGTTTCCACACAAATTTAAAAATTTTTTGTTCCAGTTCTATGAAAAATGCCATTGGTAATTTGATAGAGATTGCATTGAATATGTAATTGCATTGGGTAGTATAGTCATTTTAACGATATTGATTCTTCCAGTCCAAGAACACAGTATATCTTTCCATCTGTTTGTGTCATCTTCAGTTTCTTTCATCAGTGGCTTATAGTTTTCCTACTACAGATATTTTGCCTCCTTAGGTAGGTTGATTTCTAGGTATTTTATTCTTTTCGATGCAATGGTAAATGGGATTGTTTCTTTAATTTCTCTTCCTGATATTCTGTAGTTAGTGTATAGAAATGCAACAGATTTCTGCATACTAATTTCATATCCTGGAACTTTACTGAATTCATTGATGAGCTCTGGCAGTTTTCTGGTGGTAGGAAACCCCATTCTAAAGCTCCTTCCTCCAGGAAGCCTTCCATGGCTCCCCACTGCCCTCATGACAAATATAAATTTATGGTCCCAGTTGATGAGTACCCTGCCACCAGAAGTTGCTGGGCAAACCACCTCAGTCTTCAGCCAGGAGAAGAGGAAATCAACTCCTGATATCCTGGCTTCTGCTGAAGGTCCTCCAGCTCCATGCCCCAAGACATGGTCTGTGGTCCCCTCCCTTCTGCCCAGCTCAGCATCCTCTCCTCACAGCATGAATCCCTTATGGGTGGTTTTGCTTCACCAAGACTGACCCACGTCTCCCCTTGGTGTCAGAGGCCTGAAAGAGGAAACAGGAAAATGGGAACCCTGCTTTCATCCCCTCCAGGCATCAAATATTCAATTAACCTTCATCTCAACATGGGATGGGGTTTTATTTCCACTACAAAGCACACGATGCAGCAGCCCATCCAGGAAACTGGAGCATTTCAGCAGAAATACTTCCCCAAAGCCAGGCCACCACCAGCATTGGCATCAGAAAAGGAACCCTTGCAGGGGGCACTTTCTTCTGATCGTCTTGGCAACTCTAGCTGTGAGTGTTGGCTAGGAGGGAGGACCCCTGGGTTCCCTCCTCTGTGCCCTGACAGTGATCCCTGAGCAACCCTGGACCTGTCACCCAGCCTCTCTGGGCTTCACACTCCTCTGCAAAGGGACGGGTTGCCTTGAACAGAGAGGATGCAAACGCTGACTCCTGCAAGGTCAGGCAAGTATCATAAAATGGGAATTGGGGCTGTGTGAGATAATGTAGAGCTGGGGGAACTGTGGTGAAGTGGGAACTACATGCCCACCTAACATCATTGAAATTCAAATTTTTAAAAATTTTATTTTATTATAGTTGATTTACAATGTTGCGTTAGTTTCTGGTATACAGCAAAGTGATTCTGTTATATATACACATATACATGTATATGTATGTATACATAGGTATATGTGTGTGTATATATACATACATATGTACGTATATATACACATACATGTATATATGCACATATATATGTTATATGTGCATATATATGTATATGCCACCATATATACATTCTTTTCCATATTCTTTTCCGTTATGGTTTATCACAGGATATTGAATATAGTTCCCTGTGCTATACAGTAGGACCTTGTTGTTTATCCATTCTCTCTCTATAATAGTTTGCATCTGTTAATCCCAAACTCTCAATCCTTCCCTTCCTGTATCCCCCTCCCCCTTGGCAACCACAAGTCTGTTCTCTATGTCTATGAGTCTGGTTTTGTTTCATAGATAAGTTCATTTGTGTCATATTTTAGATTCCACATATAAGTGATATGTGGTATTTATCTTTCTCTTTCTGACTTACTTCACTCAGTATGAGAATCTCTAGGTCCATCCATGTTGCTGCACATGGCATTATTTCATTCTTTTTTATGGCTGAGTAGTATACACTGTGTGTGTGTGTGTGTGTGTGTGTGTGTGTGTGTGTGTGCGCGCGCACACACACACACACACACACACACCACATCTTCTTTATCCATTCATCTGTTGATAGACATTTAGGTTGCTTCCATATCTTGGCTATTGTGAATAGTGTGGCTATGAACATAGGGGTGCACATATCTTTTCAAATTATAGTTTTGTCTGGATATATGCCCAGGAGTAGGATTGCTGGATCATATGGCAACTCTATTTTGAGTTTTTTTGAGGAACCTCCATACTGTTCTCCATAGTGGCTGCACCAATTTACATTCCCACCAATAGTGTAGGAGGGTTCCCTTTTCTCCACACCCTCTCCAGCGTTCGTTATTTGTAGATTTTTTAATGATGGCCATTCTGACCAGTGTGAGGTGGTAACTCATTGTACTTTTTGGCTGCATTGGGTCTTTGTTGCTGCACGCGGGCTTCTTGTTGTGGTGGCTTCTCTTGCTGTGCAGCACGGGCTCTAGGCGCACGGGCTTCAGTAGTCATGGCACATGGGCCCCGTAGCTGTGCTCATGGGCTCTAGAGCGCAGGCTCAGTAGTTGCGGCGCACAGGCTTAGTTGCTCCACGGCATGTGGGATCTTCCCCGACCAGGGCTCGAACCCACGTCCCCTTCATTGGCAGGCAGATTGTTAACCACTGCACCACCAGGGCAGTCCCTCATTGTAGTTTTGATTTGCGTTTCTCTAACATAAATTCAGTTTGTTAAAATAATGCCCCTTCCCCTCCAAAAAGTATCTGCTGGTCAGATTCAGACTTGAGCGACCACAAGTCTAGATCCTTTCTCATGGAGGTGATAAAGAAAGCCATTTTCATCATTAAGCACTCACTGTTTGCAAGGTTCTTTCCAAACGTTAATTAATTTACTCCTCAAAGTTCTCCTAGAAGGAAGATGCAGCTATTATATTCAACTTATTTCCACCTGCCTTCTTACCTCTTACTTGGATGTCTAAGAGGCATCTCCAACGACGTGTCCCCAAACTTAAACCCTTGATTCTCTTTCTCCAAACCTATTTTGCCTCATCTTCCCATCTCAGAAAGGAGTCACCCATCCTGCCTGCTGCTCAGACCCAAAAGATGTGGAGTTATTCTAGAGCAGGAGGACACTGGTCAGTGTTCCACAACGGCTTTTCTTGACAAGTGGGTGGGGAGCAACTTCCTGATTTGCAACATTTGCCAATTTCCATGGTGTAAATACTCCCACTGTGGCCAGTATCAAGCAACCAACACAAAGTCAACAGGGTCACCAAATGCCTGGACATTTAACAGTCAGCCCTTATGGCCCAGTAGGAGCCACCGGCTCCAGCACACTCCCTGTGAACAGGATTCTTCCCTTTCTCCTACACCTGTACCCAGGGCCTCAGTACATCCTGTTGATTCTACTCAAGACTTAAATCTGCCTGGAGTTGAAGCATCTCTGACACCCCCACTGCCACCACCACCGTGGTCTAAGCCCCTGCTGTCTCGCCCTCAGTTGTCTCCCTGCTCCTGCGTTTGTCCCATTGGGGGCTGTTTTTAACCCAGCACCCTCCCTGAGTGATCACATCATGTTCTGCCTCAAACCCTGCAATAGCTCCTCATTCTATTCAGAGTAAGAGCTGAAGTTCTTACAAAAGCCCTATGTGATCTGACCCTGGTTACGGCTCCTGCTTCACTTTTTTCCACTCTACTCCTTGGTCTCTCCTTTTGGCCTCACTGGCCTCCTTGCTGTTCTGTAAACATACCTCAGGGCCTTTGCACTTGCTGTCTCCTACCACCCCCACCCCCACCCCGCCCTGGAACGCTCTGCCCTGAATATCCATATAGCTCACTCCCTAGCTTCCTGCAGGTCTCTGCTCCCATATTGCCTCCTCTGAGATGTCCCTCAACCCTTATCTAAATTAGCAGGGGGCTTCCCTGGTGGCGCAGTGGTTAAGAATCCGCCTGCCAATGCAGGGGACACAGGTTCGAGCCCTGGGCCGGGAAGATCCCAGAT